GCAGAAACTCATAGAGAATAGGTGCAGTTTATATAAATACCCATATTTGCCTGGGTATTTGTGCATGAACAAAATTTCATTATTGTTTGTTGTTCCAACAGCGAGTAACTGAAAGGGACATAACTGAGCACTACTGATTATTTTTTCCCTGTATTTGGAACGTGAAACTGAAATTCAAATAGTAGTTTTTAACGGAAATCAATTTATATAGTTTCTTATGAAGTCCAAAGATCTGATGTTGACACAGTTCTGGGAAGAGTGTAAGATAACTGCTGCTATAGTGCCATCAGTGGGCCCATGAACATTTTTGTTTATTCCATATAACAGCTGCTTTTTGAACAAAACTTGGCATTTGAGATGATGATGTAATAACACTAAACAAATCAACAAAATACCACAAAACAAATAAAGAACATTATATTTGGAAGCCATATGGGATTTTATAACAGTTTTAAAATAGAGTAGTTTAAATTTAGGGCCCAATCATACAAGCTGCTGAAGAATCTTCCGGAGAGGTGTTGTGCATTCTCAACACTGACTCAAGATAATGGAGAGGATCTTCGCAGGATACTCAATAACTCAGCAATGGTCCTTTAAACTTACAATATCAGCATCTTAAAAAATAAAAAGCATCCAGAGACCCCCAAATGAAATTGAAGCCCCATTGTGCTTTGCACTGTACACACCATGGAATAAATCTAAATATGCTGAATCCAGGACCAGTGTCTAAACCACAAGCTCATCCTTCCAATTTATAAAATATACTAAAACTGACCAACATCTGCAATATTTTGTCACTAATTAAGGGTGTTACAACTAGGTTAAAATGTTTTATGAAATTACTAATCTATTGAAACAGATGAATATATTTTGTCTAATTTTCCTTCTTTCCCCCCTACTGCAGTTATATTCATATAGGCATAAAAAAACCACAAAGACGAAAGAAGGTAGTGGTGGTAAGTATATAACTCTTAAAACTACCCTTTTAACGTATTGTCAGGAGTTAGGCCATTAATTGGCCTTATCTTTGCTTCTTTCATAAGGAAAATTTGGAAGCCAAAAAAAAAAAAAGTTTGCACTCCAATACTCTTTAATCACTGGGAGTCCTTGAAATCTCTCTCCACAATTTCTCCAATAATTAACACCATGCAGTTTATATATGTGTTTCTCTAAACAAAGGTTCACTATTGTAATGATTGTTGTTTTATATCCAATATTTACATAGCAAGGATTTGTAAACCTGTTAAAGCTTCCTAAATAAATAAGTAGTTTAAAAAAAATTCATTTGCAATGTTATAGTAGAAGATCATGTACAGTCATGACACTCATGAAAAACAAGATATGTGTCTGAAATTAATTGTCCCAAATTTTAAATTCCTGCACTTACCTTTGAGATACACATCACACTTGAAGTTTGTCATGGCTTTTCTTGTTGATTAATACAGTGCTTTATAAATAATGTAAGCAATCTCTAGCTAGAATATAAGGGATATTCATTTCTGTTACAAAAATAACCCATAGACATAGGGTTAAGGATTTTGCACCAGAAGATGAAAATAAAAAGGCTTAAACCCCCATATCCATATTAATTTTTTATTTACTATGGATATGGTTAATCAGGAAGACCAGGGCTACACAGGAAGGCTTCGAAAGCTACACAGGAAGGCTTGAGGGCTACTCAGGAAGACCAGGGCTTTAAAAAGTCCACTCCTAAGCAACCAGAGGAGCTAGCGAACAGGAGCGGCTAACAGGGGAATTTTGCGAGGGAGTTTACAGGGGGAGAGTAAGAGGGGGCTAGATACACTTTCCATTTCGTAAACTTCTTTAAACTTAAGCCAAAAACCACCCCCAATAAAAACAAAAAAGGAATGAGCTGCAGGAGTAAAAAGAGAATGCAGGCAGAAGTCCAGCAACAGAGTGGGGGCTACCCAGTTTATTGCACCCAATGCAGCATGTATGATTACCTGCCCTATGAGCAGGTGGGATATGTGTGCATTCGATGCAAGGAGCTACTGGAGAGAGAGAGGTACATAGATGAGACTTTCCGGGACACAGTAGAACGGTACTACCCCTGATCTGACAGTCTCTGTGCTGTTGTGGAGGATGAAAGTCTCAAGGAAGGAGAACATCCAACTGGAGCAGAGGGAAATGATCCCATAGTTAAAACAACGCGGAGTCCTTGTGGCACCTTAGAGACTAACAAATTTATTTGGGCATAAGCACACACACACACTCTAAGTTTTAAACAAACAATTTAATACTGGTACACAGTGATGATGATTGTGAGGCTTGGTTGAGGTGGAGGAGTCAGAGGGTGGGATATTTCCCTTACTGCTAAATGATGAACTAACAATTCGCTGCACCCTCAAGGGTTAACTCTCTCACTCTACAAGGCAGCAGGAATGGAGGGAGATATGCCCATTTCCCCTTTAAGTACACTGCCTTGTTAATTAGATCAGCTTGCTGAGACCGCAGCTGCTGCAAGCTCCCTCCGTCCTGAGCCCTGGTGTGTCCCCCCTGCTCTATGGAAGTTGAGGTAAGCGGGGTGCAGGAGCGGGGGAAGGTGGACACCCTGACAT